CCTAACGCATTCCTCAGAGCTCAGTTCAAAAGCCCTTCCCGACCACCTTCTCACCCCTCCCCTCCAGATCAGGTCCCGCCACTGCACGTCTCAACAGCACCTTTTCCTGACAGCCCGCGCCCACCCTGTAAGCTCGTGTTTGCGTGTTTGTTTAATGCCGCTGGGCAGGAAGCTCGGCAAGGGTGGAGCTGTGTCCGCCTTGACCATTATGATGTCCCTAGGACCTAGCACAGTGCCAGGTGCACGCTAGCTGCTCAATAACTGTTTAAAGAATAAATGATTAATAAACAAAAAGGTTTTTAGAAAACTGAAATAGGCATTAAAATGTTTATAGTAGGATCATGGATGGGCTTTTTCGTTCTTTGTACTGTTCAAAGTCTTCCCAGTGAGCGTACTGTGGGGTCACATCACATGCACCCTCCATGCACATGACTTCTGTTACCGTACGTGCTCTCGGGGGAGAGTGAGAGACACGAGAGGTAACCGTTAAATCTGAGTCAAGCAGTGGAGTTGCCCGATGTCTGGCCTCACGAGCAGGGGCCCCACGGCAGGCTTGGGGTGGGAGACGTGGATCTGCGATTCCCCCAGTCTCTGCCCTCACGGGCCTCTTGCAGGACAGTCTCTGCTGTGCTGTATGTTGGATCATCTCACCTAAATGCGAGTTAATCCAAAGCAGCCGTCTATTCCCACTCGGGAGGAAAAGCGGACTCCTAGCCCTAGTGAGACCCGCAGAGCTGGTCTCCCAAGTGGTGTGTGCGTTCTTGGGGGTTTCACTCACCGCATTTCGTCAAGTCGAAGAGGCAGGTATTTACCATTTTAACAACTGGTGTGAACTGCACAATGATGTGTCACAGTTCATAGCAGCATTTTTCTTTTTTTAATGATGCAAAGACAATGTTGCTTCTTACAAGCAGGGGCATCTCGGAGTCAATGAATATGGTAGTTTTTATCGCAGGCAATTCTTGCCTAAATGGCTGCCTTTAGAACCCAACTCCCCAAAACCAACTCCATCTTATGCTCTTTTTATATTAAAAAAATAGTTTAAAAATGCACCCATTTTCACCTTACTGGGAAAGATACCCCCCAAAAGAGAAAACCCTGTAACAGAGAGGGGTTCCAAGCTGGGCTGGAAGACACTCGAGGCCCTCTGCTCTGGCTAATGGAACTCTCCCCGGGCTGGTCTTGGTCAGGCCGCCCACCCTCAGCCCGCACACCTGGGCTCCTTCTGCAATGGCCTCTGCCGTCCAGCCATGGGCGGGCACGAACTCCAGGGCTGCCGTCAGGATGCGGTGCTGCAGCTGCTCCTCACTCTCATGGTCCTCCTCCTCCTGGCCACTCTGATCTGTGTACCTGAGACCCAAATCCGAGAGGGACATGGGGACACCTCATCTCACTGCCTGCTGCCTTGCAAGCAAGATGAGCCTGACCAGAAACCAGAGCTCTGTGACTCCTCTAAGCACACGTTGGGAGGACATTCACTTCTGCGTCGTACTGGCATTGTGATGCCAGCACAGTACAAGTTCTGTCACCCTTCCCCTCCCATGTGGCCACGAAGAGAAGGGCAGCAGCGAGCGAGGCGGTCCTGCGCTGGGAAGACACGTGCCCCTGCCGCACCCTGGACTTCCCTGTTTACAGCCCTCAGCGCCATTTTTAATCTGTATTTGCGCCAGACAGAAATCCATGGGGTCCGAAACAACGGTTTACAGTATCCATGGGGCCAGGCACAAGGAAGATCCTCAACAAATATGTGAACCAAAATGAAGTGCACATTAACCAGGAAACCAGAAAAGTGACTGGGGTACTCTGATTTCAGAGCTAGAGGAACTTCTCAGTGGCGGGTAAGAAAACATATCTAATGGGAATGTTCATTACTATTCTGTTTCTGGGGGGTTGTGGACCCGTATGGTAACAAAATGTTACATGTGCAGTGCATGTCCTTTGACCCAGTGCTGCCGCTGCTGAGAGAATCACACGCTTTATCCCAGGAAATCTAAATACTTATCGGTAAAAGACGGGGTAAATAAATTTTGGTATTGTCATTTGCTGGAACATTATGCAATTATTAAAAGAATACAGACTGTGAAAAGAGATTCAAATGTACTGCTGAATGAAAAAACAAGTTCTGGAACAGCATACAGTTTAGCGTACAGTGTAACTAATCATTATTATAGGCACAGGCTTACATAGGGAGTATGCACAGAGAAACATCTATAGGGATATTAACAAAAGTGTTAGCAGAGTTATTTCTGGGTTTGTGTTTCTGGTAATTTCTGCCTTAATTGTTTAGATGTTTTACAATGTACAGGCACCGTTTTCATTAAAAAATAATGACTTCCTTTCAAAGACAGTCTTGAAAATGATGAAAGGTGAAAACAGGGACAGAGAGGAGAGAGGACGAACAGTTGTAGCCAGGCGTGCAAAGAGGCAGGAAATGGCTGAACTGGGTTCTGGTGCCTACCTGGGGGGTAGACGAGAAGACTCTGCACTGGGTTCTTCTGCCCCCTGTGCCTCCGAATGTTGCTGAGAAAAAGAGGGAGGAGGCTGCTGCTTCTGCTCATCGGAAGACCTGAGCTGCAGAGCTGAAGCGTGGAAGGCACGTGGCATCAGGGCTGGTCGGCAGCGGGACACTGAAACGGAAACTGGACCAGTCAGAAACATGTATCAGAAAAGGCCCTTTGAGACCTCGAGTGGTACATGGGATGGGGAAGGGGAAGAACAGGGCAGAGACCCCTCCAGAACCACTTATCCAAGTGCTGGGTCCCACGCAAGAATCATGGGTAAACTGGCAACCCTTAGACATGATGCGCAGACAAAAGTATGAGCCGGAAAACTAAAGAGCTGGCCTGTAGGCCCGTGTCTTTGTTAGCTGTGCGGTAATGAGCAAACCATTTCATCCTAGTGAGCATAATTTTTTAAAGTATGCAAATTAGGAGCAATAATCTCTATACTTAGTTGGATAGGAGTTGAAACCAAAAGTGAAAAGTGACTTGAAGATGTTTCATATTTACCTATCATAGCAAGAGCACTGGACCAGAAGTTAAAGACTGACTCCCCAGTGTTTATATGGTGTCTCAATCTTTTTTCATCTGTAGTGTTGGAACATCCCATTCATTCACTGTAGGCAAGGGCTTTTGGAAAATACGTAGTGTTTGCTAAGATGGGCTCATACTACCTTCTTCTTTCCCAACATTGTAGTATTATAAAGTGCAAACACAAAGGCAAGTTGAAAGAACTGTGATATGAACACCTGTACATCCACCACCTGGATTCTCTGTGTTTAGCCATCAGAGTTTGATTCATCTTGTTTTGTGATACACCTACTGCAGACCTCAGTATTCTTTGCCTCTGAACATTTCAGCATGCACAGTATTAACCAGAGTCTAATATTCATTTACTGTTCCTTTACTGAGGTCACATTTATATATAATGAAATACAAAAGTCTTAACCGTGCCTATTCTGAATTTTGACAAATACATACCCTTATGACCTGAACTGAATCTGGAATCATCACCCCAGCAAGTTCCCTCATGTTCATTCCTTCCCAGTCATTCCCTGACTACACTGTTCTGAATTTTTCACTCTGGGGTTGCCTGTCCTAGAATTTCATCTAAGTACAAGAATACATGATGCCCTTTTTGTGTAAGGCTCCTTTTGTTTAATATATATATTTTAGCTTGAGTCCTATTTTTTGTGTAAATCAGTAGGTTGTTGCTGAGTAGTATTCCATTAAGAAACCTATTCTGTTGATGGACACCTGGGCTATTTCAGTGTTGGCTACTGTAAGTCAAGTTTCTATGCATGTATCTGTACAAACCTTTTTTGTGGGCATATACTTTCATTTTTCTGCGTAAGTACTTAGGAGAGGATCTGCTGGGTCACAGGCATTATTTAGAGTTTTATATAAAAACAGCAAAAGGGCACCCGCTGTTTTTTTTTTTTTAAAGATCTATGGACTAACACAGGAGACAATGATTTTTAAAAAAACACAGCACAATGTGTGTAAAAATGTCAGCATTTTAGGGTATGTACAGAAGAAATGAGGCAAATATTCATAAAACTTTGAAAAGGGCAGGAAGGTTCCAAAGAAACACTGAAGAACCGCTGTGATTTATGAGTTTAGGTGAAATATGGGAGAATGTTTATTATTTATCAGCTCTGTATTTTTATTAAAGTACCAATGCGTACATCCCATTTATGGAAATTGACACTGGTTTTCCATTTACGGTAGTGATACAAAGTTTCCCCTTTTAAGTAAATGTCCGTATGTTTAATAATTCAGATGTATAAACAAAAACGCTGACTGTATAGTGGTATACGTGGTACAAGAATATCATGGAATTATCGGTGGTGGGAAAATGACCGGCAGAAAACAGCGGAATAGGTGCTCGCTGCGGCTGTTGCCCACTCTGTCCCTCGAGCCTTCCTGGCCCAGGGACTTGGTGAGGGAGTTAGGAGGCTGGGTCCGAGTTCTGCAACTCCCGAGCTGTGTGACCTTGGGCACCCACAACCTCTCCGGGGCTCCACTGGCTCCGCTAAATGGGAGTGACAGGTCCTGCTCCGCCGCTTCGGCCCTCACAGCCGTGGACTGGGGGCAGAAGCCAGCCGGACCGCCCGAACAATCCCGGGACGCCGGCGGGTCCGCACCCTTGCCCTTCACCTCACCTTGCTCGCCAGCCGCCACCACGGCCTCTTCCTCCCCGCACCCAGAGAAGGTGGCCCCCGCGCCCCCTCTCCTCGCCCCCCTACTCCCCGGTTCTGCCGCCCCCTCACCGGGCAGGCACCGCAGCTGCAGGAGCCTCCAGCCCGCGCGGCCGAGCGCACCAGACACCGCCGCCGCTGCCGCCATCTTAGAAGCGGGCACGCCGCCTACAGCGACGGGAGGGGGGGGGGCAGCACCGGGACCGCGGCACGCCCACTTCCGTCTGGCTCGCACGGGGTGAAGCTCCTCCTCCTCTCGCGAGAGGTGCGCGGCGCGGAGCCGGCGGCTGCGGCTAAACTGTGAGGACTCGGGAGAACGAGGTAAGCGCGTCCCGAGATCCAAGAGCCTGACTTCCCCCCAACGGTCCCCTCCTGGTTTACTCTGATCCCCAGATCCTCCCCTTTGCTAGTCCCAGTCCCATCCCTTAGCGGGAACCTTAGGCGGGGCCACCTCCCTAAGGATCACGGCGGGCTTTTGCCCAGAGAAGCGGTGTGAGGGGTGGACCGGTTTTGTCTGCCCCGGGCTCTTGGCGCCGTGGCCCCTTGTCCTTCCTGGGTGGCCTCTTATCCTGCGCTGCCCGCCCCGGGGACGGCACAGTCAGGAGGAAGAGTCCTGAGTTGGGGTCCGGGAGACTTGGGTTTTAGACCCGCTTCTGCCTGTAGCCAGATGCTGTGACCTTGGGCCTCGGTCCCTCTCCTCAAACTGAAGTTTCGGTCGTGGAGGGAACCTCCAATGATTCTCCTGAACCTCCAAGGTTTTAAATGGCTGTAATCAGATATTTCCCCAACTTGCCCGATAGGAAGAATCATACAGGATGCTTGTTACTAAGTCGTATACACCCAGGCGTTTCTTCTAGAGAGTTGATTCAGTGCATTTGGGCGTAGTTCAGGCATTTTATTTTAACGAATACCCCCAGGTGATGTGTCGGGTTTGCAAATTTAGAAAAAGCTGGTAGCGTTCGTTTAGACGTGAATGCCAAATTCTGGGTGACCCTGGAAGGTCGGGGACTAGAATCAAACAAATGTAAATGCAGAGCGCCTCACTGCCTCGGGGCAGTGACGGTTTCTTAGGAGTAGGAAGACGTCAATGGTTTGGGGATTGAGGATTAGCTATGACGAAAGCTAAGCACGCTGTTCCGTACATTTTGCTGGCAGTTAGATTGCAATTGGGTTTACAATTTTGTCTTCGTATATTTCACATACCCTTTACCAACTCCTCTTTTCAAGCGGTTTTGTGCTCCCCTGCATGAGTGCTGGGGAAACTCCTCAAATATTAAGTTTCAGGTCAATGTCTTTGGAGCTCCGTGAAGCACTGCTGATCTCTCCTGATTTTTTTTTTTTCTGAGTTCTGTCCACCTCAAAGGAGCCCTTTCTGTGGAAATTGTGGCTCTTGGATATCGGTTCTGAGACCCTTAACCCTTGATGCACATCTGATTGGTGACACTCTTCCATTGCTTCTCCTTTGAGTTTACTTGCTGATTATCCTCCTTTTTTCCCCTCTCTCGCTCCCTGTGTGTGCATGCATAAGCTTCAGTCCGTTCATTTTTGTTAAATTTTTCTTTTCCTGTAACTGTCAGGATTCTCAGATATTTTTATGGACCTGACTTAAAAGGAGTTGTTTTTTGTTTGTTTGTTTGTTTGTTTGTTTGTTTGAACTGATATCCAAATGTTGATCTTTTTTCTTTTGGCTCTGCTCATCCTTGAGAGGAGGCAAATGCCTCAAGATTGGGTGTTTATTGGGTACCTTAAAAATAAACAAGTGCCTCTCCAGAAGTTGTTCTCACACATCTGTTGTCACCGTCTGCCAGGAATGTTTGAGAAGGGCTGGGGCACGTGTGTGCAGCGGTGAGGGTTGGAGAGGTGCTTAACAGTCACGTCCACTGACGTGACAATGACTTCTCCACCTCTTTTCAGTTGTGAAACTGGGCTCTGAGTCACACTTCTGAGTATATTGACCTCAGCGCCAGTTTTTCCTATTGTTTTTGTTGTTGTTAAAAACAGATTGAAAACAACACAAAACATGGATGATGAAAAACATCACACTTTGGCATTTAGATATTTAAAAGAACATTCTCTCCCATTGCATTAGGAAAATGCTGGCCAAAAGTGGGGGCTGTGTCTGTTTTTTGAAGGTTAAATTTTAATCAGTGTATTTTATGAGCTCCCTCTTGCCACAGAAGATTAGTTTGGGGGGGATAGTGAACGGGAAGCATTTCCATTCAGGCGCTTTGCCGGCACAGCCCCACTGGAGAGCCGTGTGAGGCATCCTGGAGTGAGCTCCTGCGCCGGGGGATTTGGACAGGGAAAAAGAAGCACTGCGTTTCTTCTGGCTGCAAGAAGTGGAGCCTCGGAGTTGCTTTCAGAACATTATTTTATTGAGCTTTGTGTGCCAGCCTCTGCTGAGTGCTTTGTGTATTTTCATTTTCTCGTTTATTTCTGACAGCAGCCTTGGGAATAGAAAATTATCACCCCTCCTGTATTGATGAGAAAAAGAAGCTAGTAGCTGACTCATGGCACGTAGCTATGAACTAGAAGATCCTGGTGGTAGATAGAACCTGGGTCATCTGTGTTCAGAACCTGTGCTGTGTAAAACTCTGCCGCCATAAAGGCTGCTAGAAAGGTCCAGACATCTGGGTTTTTGTTTTCCTGTAGCAAGTAAGTAACCTTGGGCCCCTTGACTCTTTAATGAGGATTTTCTTTGTGCAAGGTTGTGGCCATCATTGCTGGGCAGGGGGCTTGTTGTCTCTCTTCCGTGTCCCAAAGGAGAACCTGATTCAGCATCATTCTAGACTAGACAGGTCATTTGTTTCTTATAACCGAATACCCAGCAATCCCCATTCCTGTCCTCCCTGGCTGCTGCTGAACTGTGACATTGACCATAAACTACTTGCCTTAGATTCTCAGTGAGATACCGAAAACCTTTTTTATTGTGCATATTTTAGGGATTTGAAAACCATAATTCAGTGACTAAGGAATCCCGATTGTCTGATAGCAACCCGGCGCCCTTGCCCGGTGACCTGCGGTCAGGCCAGGTCAGGCCAGTGTGTGCATTCCACACGGGAGGGTCTAGGGAGGGGGCAGGACAGCCTGAAAGTACAACGGTGTTTCACAGAACGGCGGGAGGGGGGGGGTGGATTCCCTTCGGAGAGGTGTCAGGTACACACGGAGCCAGAGTGTGGAGGACCCAGAAGACTAAGAGGTTTGACTTTGCTCTAGAAAGGAAAGTTTTCAGTAACCCCTGTAGGAAAGGAGCAGCAAAACCAAAGTACTGCAGTAGTGACGGGTGACTGGCTCACCCGGGCGTGTTTTGTTGGCAGAAGAGCCAGTCATTTGAAGTCGACATTTGTACAGAAGGAAGCATGCAGTGGACCCGGCTTAAACCCAGTCCCAGAGTGTCTGTGGTGGCACAGTTGCCCCTTAGTTAGCCACCTCTGTGGAAGACAGAGTGTTCAGCCTAAGACTGACCCATGCCTGGTGTCCCCACCACAGCTGCTGTCTCTGTGTCGTTTACTGGCGTGGTTTGAAGTCAGAGACTTCATGGCATTAATGTTTAAGAAAGAAAGGAGGAACTGAACAGAGCGCTATCTCCTTACCTGATTTCACTGTGAGCACATTCTATACTCGTCTGAGTATCAGGTGGAAGAGAAAGTTGACCCACGGGGGGAAATTTCCGTGGGTGAAAAGCACGGGCTTCACAGTCAGTTGCACGGACTTAGAGTCAAACCCCAGCTCTATGTGGATCCACACAACACTTACTAGTTGTGCCACCAGGGCTAAGTCAGCGCCTCGGTTCCCTGGCTGTAGAATGGGATGAATACCTGGTGCAGTGGCGGTCATGTGTGCAAAGTGTTGCGAGCAGTCTGGCCGATACCGCTGATCACTGACTGACACACTGATCGTATTTTGATGAAAGGGAAAATACTCAATTTCCTAAATTTCATAACTTGTCTCTCAAACATGAAGCTGTGGCTGGGTTGTGTCTGCCAGTCGATTGGCCTCCCTTGCTGAGTCATACTTCTGCCTAATTAATGTCCTGTGTGTTCTACATGCTGGTCAAGCCAAGTTGTCGCTTATCAAAGGGAAAATGACCTTTCTGCTTTTGGCCTCCTTAACTGATTGCCAGGTCAGGGTTCTCACCAAGGATGATGGGCTCACTTAATCAGACTGTCACGTCCACAGTACAGTTCTCTAGCGTGGTTGTCGTCCCCGGTCAGAACTGGGTTGTGGTTCTGACTGTGCTCGACGGTGCCTCATGGATGAGATTGTGCTCTTGTCTCTGCTCGGTTTTGACCCTCCTTTGGCCTGTGGTTTTTAGGTCCGCCGCGAGCAGGAATGGCGGACTTTGGGATCGCAGCTGGCCAGTTCGTGGCGGTGGTCTGGGATAAGTCCTCCCCGGCAGAGTCTCTGAAAGGCCTGGTGGGTGAGCTCCAGGCGCTAACGGGCAGTGAGGGCCGCGTGTCTGTGGAAAACATCGACCAGCTGTTGCAATGTAAGTACCCACCCAGGGTGCCTTTACAGGTGGGGAGGGGGCGGATGGGCCGGTTTCCCGGGGAGTCCTGCGTCTCTGACATTCCTCGGTAACTGAGTTTTCATTTGGGTGGCGGCGCGTGCTACTCGTGGCTGGTCCTTTGTTGATTTCGGTTGAGATGTAGTGGACTCAGGAGTGTAGTTGATGATTTGTAAAAGCGTGCTCTTGTTTCTTATCTAGGTACTCCACATTTATTTTTAAAATCTTACTCTTCATCCAGCTTCCTTTCTGACTCCAGTCCCTGAGCATATGAAAGGATAAGGAATTACTCCGGCTGGGTAGCTCAGTTGGTTGGAGCGTCGTCCCAATACGCCTGGGGTGCAGGTTCAATCGCTAGTCAGGACACCTCTAAGAATCAGCCCCTGAATGCGTAGATAAGTGGAACAATAAATTGATGTTTCTCTCTCTCCCTTCTTCTCTCTCTAAATATCAACAAATATTTAAAAAAGAGAAGAACTTAGTAAGACTGAGGGAGAGCCAGGCAGTAGCACCATGGACTTTGCCAGCAACAGTGGTCTGATGGCATTTGCTACACAGGCGGCTGTGAATTCTTCTGGGCCAGGCCGGCAGCCCTTGGGGGGACTTGGGGGCGCTTGGGAGACTGTTTGGGGCCTAGGTGATCGCTGACAGAGTCCCCCTTTCTTCCAGCTGCCCACCGAGAATCGAGCTTTGATGTTATTTTATCGGGCGTGGTTCCCGGAAGCACCACCCTGCACAGCACCGAGATTTTGGCCGAGATGGCCCGGATCCTGCGGCCTGGCGGATGTCTGTTTCTGAAAGAGCCGGTAGAGACGGCTGTCGGTAAGGAAGTCTTCATCCGAAAGGCTAGACTTTAACAGGGTCCGATCTTTAGGTGTTTTTGCTGCATCTCTCCGAGCAGGAGATGCCGTTTAGAGATCAGTAGTCCTACAGCTGGACCCCCTCCTTAGAGGTAAATTATTATAAAAATCTAAATCAGTGCATCTGAGGAAACGGTGATCTTGACCCAGGAGATAGGAAAATAGAAGGAAACTACCTACCGGAAAACGGCGGGGTCCTTCAGCCGGTGACGGGGCAGGCTTCGCTGTGTCCACGCCACAGGAGGCTGCGCAGCAGTAAACAAAGGCACAGGCGCCATGTGTGTGACACTTCGGATGTGTCTCCAGGGAGTCGCGTGGTGAGAAAGCCACTCCCAGAAGGTCACCTGCTGCCTGGTTTTGCTCACACAACCTTCTTGAAATGACGGAGTGTGGAGGATGGAGAGTGGGTCGGCGCTTGCCCAGGGAGGCGGCGTGTGGGGGGAGTGCAGGGGCTCCTTGTGGTCATGGACCATTCTGTGTCTGGGTGTGGCGGTGCTCACACTCACCTGCATGTGTGCCGAGATTGCACAGAGGCACACAACACACACATGCACAGGTGCATGTAAAGCTGGTGGGATTCGGGTCAGCTCCGTGGACGGCATCAGGTTCCCGGTCCTCACATGGTGCTGGAACGTGTGAGGATGGCCTCCGGGGAGGTGCGGCGAAGGGGCCTCGAGCCCTCCCTGAGAACAGTGGCGGGGTCTGGGGCTGCTGAGGGGACTGTGACGCGTGGGAGCCAGTGAGAGAAGCCAGGAAATAAAAACTCTCTTACTTGTCCAAGTGGTGATGTGTTAAAAGAGTTAATCAGTTCTGGATTTTAGCTTTTTTTACTGGACTTTCCATCAAAACGTGATGAGTTATTTCATCAAATAAGATGGCAGAAGTGAAAGCACTTTACAGTGTATAAGGCGTGTGTGTGGAGTGGACGTCCGTGCCCCTTGCTAGGAGTGCAGCCCCGGTGACAAACCGCAGTGTCTCTTGCCAGGACTGTGAAGTGAGAATAGAGCGCTGGTCTCGCTCGAGTCTCTGAGCCTCAAGCTTGGTCATTCTCTAACAGCCCCGGGAGGTTTGGTGTCTCCAAGAAGCAGAGAACGATAAGAAATGATAGTGATGGAACCATTATATTCCATCGTAATGACTTAAGAGCATTGGTAAGAGCATTGTGAATAAGCTCAAATTAAAACATTGCTAAAATACATAAACATTAAACATGAAAGGTTATTACTGTTTTACTGCCAGCTGAGAGGGAGCCTTTATTATTTTTCCTGCTCTGACCTGCAAAGCTATTGATCTGGATTCTCCTCTTGGCAGTCACCAGCGGCAAAGTGAGGACAACCTCTAAACTGTGTTCCGCCCTGACCCTTTCTGGCCTCGTGGAAGTGAGAGAGGTAATGTCAGGAGACACTGTCTCTGTGGGGACCTGGGCTGGGGGCCATGAGTCCCCATGTCTGTCAGATGATACAGAGGGAGTCGGGGGAAATAATGTGGGGGGTCAGCCCATGTAGACTGGGAAATACGCCGAGAAGCACTCTGCCTGTGAGCTGCAGGATGACGCACAGCAAGACCTCGGGTACTACGCCTCCTCTGGGGAGTCCCGCGGGACCCGGGGGCCGGCCCCCCCTGGCCTCAGTGGTGGTTAGTGGCGCTGACGGCTGAGGCAGCGCAGTGCAGGTCTCTCGATGGACATGCGTCCGAGGCCCAGCTGGGAGTCCCCTGGCTCATCTTCAGATATTTGGTGGGGGCCTGGAGGGGGGAATCCCATTCTGATAATTCAGTAGAAGTGTTTTCATTAAATAGAGGCGTTTATATTTCTATATTCTTACTCAGAGTTGAAATCCTTGTGTGAGAGCCAGGCGTTATATTCTGAGGGCCATTATACCACCGATTTGCCGCTTGGCCAAGGGCCTTCACTTACTCACGCCCACCCTTTCTTTTTGTCTTTAGTCTAAGGCTTTCTGTTCTTTAAAATAAGAGATGCTTGGAAAAGTCCAGTTAATATTGAAGAACAATAAACATAAAGTGACATCCCAGTCCTTGTTCACACTCCCGCCGCAGAGGAATCCACCAGTGTATTTGTTTGTCTGGCTGTTCAGACCTTTTTTACGTATTTGCAGGTGTACACACCCTCCTCCCCTTCATGTGTCTGTACACGCGTCATTTGTTAATGTAAACAAGGCCATACGTGTGCACTGTTCAGTCGCTGGCTGATCCATCTCGTGTGGTGCCCCTTGTTCTTGTTAACGAGGGAACACTCTTCAGTGCTGTAGGTGGGCTGTGACTTACTGAACTATTCTGCCTCTTAGAGGTTAGCATTGTTTTAATGGCGCAGCACCCCACCCATTTTCCTGCTTTCACTGTCAGATGCTGCTTCCCAAGGAACATAGAAAGCGTCTCCCTCCCCCGTGGTTCCTCTCCTCCGAGGACACACGTTTTGCTGTTTTTGGGGTGAGCATGTGTCCCCACTGTGGGCTTGGGTCCTGTTCAGCAGGACCGTGTCGATGCATCTGAGTAACAACCACTGCGACCCCCACAGTGACTCACACAGCACCTTATTATGCCTAAGAGACATGCATCTAATGAGGGTGTTAAGATTTTTCAAGGGACAGACTCAAAGTACAAATGTAGACAAAATTCCACTCCAGGGCTCCAAGCAGTGAGAAAGTGGCCCGAGGCGATGTCCGTCGTCCCGCTACCCTGCACGTTACTCTGTCCCGCCATTCAGGCACTGGAGACATGGACCTGAGCGTGTGACGCCTGTGGGGGGTCATGGAGTGCCGTGTCGTGGGGTGCGGCCTCACCCTGCGGCTGTCTTGCGTTCCAGCTGCAGCGGGAGTCCTTGAGCGCTGAGGAGAAGCAGTCTGTCCAAGAGCACCTGGGTCACCATAGCGACAGCCTGCTCTCCGTGCAAATCACAGGCAGAAAGCCCAACTTCGAAGTGGGTTCTTCTAGTCAGCTGAAGCTTTCTGTTGCCAAGAAGTCTGCTCCTTCAGGTAAGACTGGACGTCTTCTGTCCGAACAGGCCAGGAAGGGCGCGTCGGAAACTGAGCCAGAGATGAGAGAGTGTCAGTCTTTCCTCCATGTTGGCCATGTCCAAAGGGAAGAATGCTCTGTGTGCTGTGGTCCTGGGTGTCCTCGGACCCGGACTGGAGCGATGTGCAGATACTGTCTGGTTCACCCCTTCTGCCCTGGAGGACACTGGGGCTGCCGGATTTTGAAGGCCCGAGTCACACAGTTGAGTTAGTGAAGCCTCTCTGGTCCCCAGGATTTTGACTTTTGTCCTCGGGATACCTCATGGTGGAGGTCATAGTAGGTAAGAGGGTCCTGCTCCTCTTCCCGTGTGTCCTTGACTTTTGTGCCAGTAAAGTTGGCTTTTCTTACTTTGAGGATCCTCAGACACTTGTAAACAAGTTTTTTCTGCTCAGAGAATTATCCTCCCCTCCCCTGCTTTGCATTTCCCATCTGTTTTTAATACCTGAATTGAGAACATTTCCCGGCTGTGGGGTATGCAAAAATACGCAGGTGCGTTCACACTGCTCTGTTTTGACTGTCCAGCCCACGTCTACAAAAAACCCTTGGAATCCTGGCCTTGGGGTTCATAGGCCAGAGCGGGTGAGGACAGCTTCCGTGAGCAGTTCGCCCTGCAGAAGGCTGGAGCAGGCGGTGCCACACTGATCCGCAGGGTGCTCTGACCCTACCCGCCCCCATGCCCACCCCCATCCCTTCCCATCCTTTCCCATCTCCTGGCCTGTAGAGAACATGGGCAGCGTGAGGTTTGGCCTGCCCCCGATCGGTGTTACGCTCCCCCGTCTGCTCTGGAGCTTATGGTCTCGTACGCCGCAGGCGTCTGTGGGGCTGAAGCTCCTTGCTTATGACGCTTCCTGGCGCCCTCTCATCCCATCTCCTGTTGCCTGCAGTGGCTGCGGGGAGCGCCAGTGGCCCCGTGTTCTGGGGGTGGGCACTGAGATACAAGAACACCACATGGAGTGGAGTAAAAGTACTAGACAGAACTGCCTTTTTTTGTGGCAGGCTTAAATCTCAACCTGCTTTCTCACCTGTACACTTAGGGTGGCAGGTACTTGACAAGGTTGTTAGCAGGGTTACATGGGTGATGTGCACAAAAGGCTTCATAGAGTGTCTGCCACAAAGCAGGTGCCGACAGTGATGGCTTCTGGGACTGTCACGGGTCTCCTGACTCAGTCCAGCATGCTCTGTACAGAGTCTCACCAGAAAGCGTTTGTCTGCCTGTAGCTCGCCTAGGGCTTCTTCCTAGAGCTCTTTTTCTTTTGTTGGGTGGACACAGTGAAGCCTGCTGTGGACCCCGCGGCTGTCAAACTCTGGACCCTCTCAGCCAATGACATGGAAGACGAGGACACGGTGAGTGGACCCCTGGGCCCGTCGCCTTCTCTCAGCCCCAGTGCAGGTGTGAACGTGTGCCGTTCGGGGGGCGCTCTCGGGACTCGCCGCGTGAAAGCCCAGCGTCGCAGCTTTCTCATTTTGAATTAGAAGGAACCCCCTCAGCTTCTCTTTTCCCCATGTGTCATGTGACACGTTAAAGACCCCCGAGGGCACGTGCAAACCTGGAGTTTGTCGGCTGAGATACTTTTCCTGGCTCCTCTGGGCAAGCCCCTGAGCGCTCACGGTCTTCAGAGCCGCGCTCCCCCCTGTCTGGCCGGTGCCCCCGCGATCGGGTTCTCTGGTCCACAGCCATCCGAGGACGGTCAGTGTCAACACTGCTGGTCCTCTTCTCTGGAATCATGGACAAGATACTTTGTTCCCGTCTTCACCTGACTGCCCCGCATACACAAGGTGGGGCAGAAGTAGGTTCACCGTTGTTTGTGTGGGAAATAACGCGGTACTTAATTAATGACACGAGAAGAAGCTCTGTTTATCGCACTCAGCCGTAGGCCTGCCTCTGCCCGCCCCGTCGACCAGTCTGTTTGGTGCGAATCAGTCCCCGTCCAGCCAGCACACACTCTGTGCGCGGTAGTTCCCTGGGGTGGGCAGCTGGGACGTGAGGATCAGCCCCACTTGGGGCCGTGGGGTCTTCTTGACCCACGCGGCATAAACCCACTGCCCTCACCTGTGACCCCCTCTGCTCCTCCGTGGCAGAGCCCGTGACCAACCATGTCACTAACGGCTTCCGACACTCCCCAGGACCTCATCGACTCAGACGAGCTGCTGGACCCAGAGGATCTGAAGAAGCCAGACCCCGCCTCCCTGCGGGCCCCTTCATGTGGAGAAGGGAAAAAGAGGAAGGCCTGCAAGAACTGGTGAGCACCGCCTCCAGAGGCTTCTGCCGTTCCAGGCGCCGCAGCACTGTGATTAATTAGACATGTGACTCGTGAAATGAGCCGCGCCTACAGGGGAGTGTTTTAAGCAGGGACATTTCAGAGAATAATAAAATGAACACCCAGGCATGGTCACCAGGTTAAGGATCAGAAACATTACCGGTACCTCAGCAGTCCCTTCTGCACCATTCCAAGTTTGTGCCAGGCATTCTCGGCTCGTTTGATAATTTAAACGAGGTCTCCATGAGACCCTCCAAACAACCTGCCACGTGGTTGTGGAGAGCTGAGTGGTGAGCCCCGACCTGACTGGGCAGAGAAAGATCGATCCCCACGTCTGTGCCGCCCCAGGGAAGGGCAGGGCCGACAGGGCTTCTGGTCTGGCCTCTCTGAGAACCTGTTGGAGCGGCTTCCAGGGAAGTCGGTGGGAGCGTCACGAGTGAGTTCCAGGAAACCAGGGACGTGCCGCTGTTGGAAGAGCTGGCAGGGTTATCATGTGGCACAGGGACTGGGTGACCAGCAGAAATACGATCAGAGGGAGTGGCTGCTGCCTGTGTCCTGCTCGGAGCCTGCTGTCCCCTCGGAGCAGATCACAGTGGGACACTGCTCTCAGGTGAAATGAGTGTCCTCGGCCGACAGTCGGGGTGCAGAGGGGAGAGCCGAACGCTTTGAGGTGGCTGCCCTCTGTGGACAGGGCACCCTGCTGGGCCTTCGCCCCCCACCACCCTCTGTCTCCCTGAGCAGCCTGACGCCCTCGTCCGCCTGACCCCGCAGGCGTTTCAGTTAAGACAGCCTGGTGGGAAAAGTCTCAGAGCGCACCCTGGCACTGCCTGGGATTTGGAGTTTCCAGGTGGTGGCCAATCTCACTCATCAGCTACCAATCCCCCCCACCCAGCACATGTGGCCTCGCCGAAGAACTGGAAAAAGAGAAGTCCAGGGAACAGATGAGCTCCCAACCCAAGTCGGCCTGTGGAAACGTAAGTATCAGCACTCCGTGTCCCCCAGACCCCCCCGCGGTGTGGGGCACGCCCCTCAACCACACACAGACCAGCCCCAGCCGCAGGAACTTACTGCCCCATTTCTGTAGTCGGCCACTGCACGAGAGCGGCGGCTGGTCTGGGGGGAGGGGAGGCTGTCTCGTGAGACGGGGCCAGCGCGTCCTGCCCAGGTGGGGGGCTCATTTCTTATTTTCCTCCCTGTCTTCCTGAGGTTCCTCAGCCGTTTGGCTGCACTGGGCTGCGGTCTGAACTGCCGAGAATACAGACACACAGTCTCCTAAGGAGCTTCCCCAGACCCTTGTTCTCACGGAACCAGGGGTCTTCACATTCACAGTGTTCGGGTCCCCGGTGGATCTACAGACGCACCACCCATTTCCTTCAGGCCATGGTGGCCATATTACGAAATTTGGGGTCCCGTCCCTACAGCCCCTACCTCGGGGTCAGCTTCCCAGTCTGACCGTCTCTTCTCTCAACAGTGCTACCTGGGCGACGCTTTCCGCTGCGCCAGCTGCCCCTACCTCGGCATGCCGGCCTTCAAACCCGGGGAGCAGGTGCTGCTGAGCACCAGCGGCCTCCACGACGACTAGGCCGCCCCTGCCCCTCTGCGTTTGCTCATCTCCGCTGGGAACCCGTTTGCAGGGAGGGTGCTTGGTGGGCAGTGAGGCTGGCCGTGGGGGCGGGGGGGTGTGGTGCTGCCGTGGACCAGAAGGCCAAGGCGTCGGTCACCCTGGGCGGGTGGGCTTCTTCCTAGTAGGGAACGGATGTGTGCTGAGGGGCCCTCTCCCGAGTGCGACTCCTGCGAGTGGGCCCTCTGTGACAAAGGCCCCGCCCCGCCTCCGCACTCAGCAAGTGCCACCGCTGGTCCCCCGGAGTCGGTTCTTTGCTCTGCAGGCCGCTCCTGGTGATAGTGTCCTCTGACCTCAGGGCACCAGTGGAGTCGTGTGCTCACAGCTGGGGCCCCTCCGCCCCCCCCACCCCTGCAGTAGTGTCCTGCCCTGTGTTCCGTCAGTCTGCAGTTACCATTAAACCTGCGTTCCTCCGCATTCTCAGTTGTGAAGAGGGCGTGCGTGTGTCGGGGGCGGGGGCTGGTCTGACGCAGCCATGCAACTCGGAGCACAGAACTGGTTTTGGAGAGACTCGGGGTCACACACCGATGGGGCCGGCCCTGTGCTGCGGGACAGGGCCTCTCCATCCCTGTCAGACGAGTTGGGTTGACAAGAGTTGAGAGCGAGCAGAACAGCAGCCGGAACCCACAGTAAATCTCCCAGGAGGAGGCCCTTTGTGCTTGTCACCCACACAGACTCGGAGTGGATCTCGCCAGTAGTTGGGGACAGTGCATGGATTCAGGAGACCTGGATTTTTATGTCCTACCAATAAATAAAAGTCTTCTTTGGAATTAGCCCTGAAACTTGAGTCAGTGTTGGCTGTTGCATATTCCGTCCCTGTCGGTGGACTTTGTTACAGGTGCGGCTGGACTCTGGTTTGACGGCGGGCGCCTGCCCGAGGGCATGAATGAGCAGGCCTCTCGTGGCCGGGCCTCACTGCTGTGGTCGGGTCACCTTAAGCGGCAAAGCTGTGTGCACTGGCTGTGTGCGAACACAGGTGTTTGTTCTATCGCTGGCTTGTGTTTCTCACCTATACTTTGAGTATTTTGTACTGATGAGGCATTTTATTCAAAAACCAGAAAAACCCACACATAAAACCCTGGGTCGTAGGGAGCACACCCCCTGGCCCAGAACACAGCCCTGTACGTCCCTGATGCGAACCTGCACTGTGGGGGCTGGTCCCCTCTCCAGCATCCCCGGCTGAGGCACACCCCCGTGGCCCCCCAGTCCTCACAGCAGTTCCGAGTCTGCACATGCACAGTGTGGGCCCCCGAGGAAGACTTCACTGGGAGGAAAGTGCTTTGCTTCTCTGAAGACAGGTGTGCCAAGCGCTGGAATGAATGCATGTCTTGAGTCTTTCCAGCTGTAGCCTGCCGAGTGAGAAACCCTTACTCTCCTTCGCTGGCTCCCTCTCCACACCTCCCCTCCCTAGATATGTGAGATCATCCTTCCTGCACTCCCACCCCTGCCCGCCCCAAACTGGGCCCCATGGATTCAGACAACATTTTTCCACAAACACTCAGACTGATGTGCCCCCAAGACTGGGTCCGAGGCAGCTGTTTGAGGAATATTGCTCAAGATCAGGGCAGGCGAAGAGCCCACCCATGGCCCGGGAGACCCGGGGTCACAGGGAAGCCAGCCAATCACCTTCATTAGCCTCATTATTACTGTAGTTTTACCCCTGCCCCTACCAGAAAGTGAGCTAGGGCAGCCTGCAATGAGACAATTGGCCACAGGAGGGCAGCGAGAGGCAAAAGTTTTGTTTGGGAAAAAAACCTCAAACACTAAGGTCACAAAATCCTAGGAAGAGAAGGATTAAGTTCCTTGGTCACCATCAGCTGTGTCGTCACTGCCACCGTGATCTCCAAAAGCATGTGGCACCTTTTCTTAGCCCACCAGCAGGAGTCCTTTCACTCCTTTTCTTCCAGGCAAAGTCTCTCCTGCTTCCTAACCACATGCCAAAAGGGAGCACCCCAAAGCCACCTGGTCCTGACTCTCACCAAAGCCTCGTGATCCCAACCTGGCATGGCTATTGTGCCTGGGTTTAAATCCCAGCGCCAATCTTCCTCTGCAGCCCCATTTCCGACTCCTCCCACAATCAGTTACACCTGCCAGCACTCCCCTATCCTTCTAGCTTTACTGGGCTGCCATAGTGAGTCTGGGCAGGTGTGGCCCCATGGCATGGAGCCAATCATCTCCAAGCTCTCATACAAGCGCTGTAACCAGGGGGAGTGGCCTCCCAGTTACATCTTGGATGGAAGTCACTTCCATCCCCCTGGCTCAAAGCATGGCCACAGCCATTTAACATATCCGTGGAACCAGTTAAAGGTTATAGATATGTTAAATGTCCATGCCAGAGGTTAGCTGCAAAGCTGTTTCAATGCAGAACATCTCTCAATGGCCCTGCTCCATGTGTCCCATCCCCCAGCTCAGACTGGTGGACATGAGGACATCATATATATATATTTCCTGGAAACCCTGAGTTCTGGACTCCATTACAAATTCCTTTTGGGCCACCCCCCCCCCCCCCGCTGCACCCTGCACCCTGTTACAATCCCTCCTTTCAGATATACAACCACTTTATAATCATATAAAGGACAATGGATAAAGGTCTCATCTTCTTGGAACTATTCCAGCTGGACATGGACATCGTCCTACCCACCTTGGGTCAGGAGTGCCCTGAAAGGGGGGAGGGCAGCACAGAGGGAGTCCTTCCTATAAGGGGAAGGACCTTACAGAATCCTTGTCAGTTTGCTGTCACCAGGAAGTCGCAGGCTTAGTGTTCAAAGGCTGGCATTACTGGACAGTTGGCATCCTAGTCATATTCTGGAGATGACAGATTTGGAAAGAGTTGGAAGGCACAGTTGAATCATAACCACTAAATGACAAAGGCAGGTAAGAAATGGCTTATCTGGAGGAAGGTGTATGAGGCATGTTATACCTGTCCAAAACCCTTGTGGCCCACTACACTTAGCTCAGGCTGAGGGGAATATTTTAGGATTTCCCTCCTTTCAGATTTCTGGGCCCTTTCTGTCCAAGCCATTGGAGAGAAAAGGGAAAATCAGTTCTAAAGTGAAGTCCACAGACAGCCCGAACCCTTTGCCAAGCCGACCACTTGGTTTAACCAAACCGTTGAGTGTCAGGGGGCGATGATGAAGATGGGCTCCTTAAGTGAGACCTATATTGCAACCAATCACCCAGGTAATGAGGTCATAGGCATACACCCTATGAAAAGAGAAGGAGGAGCACACAGATTAATTCACATAACAATCCCCAAGCCAGTCTCTGCTCCTGTGAGACTATCTTTTGGGAAGACATCCAGTTGCAAGGTCCTTGCTGCAATGACATTTAACAATGGCAATTTGACAGGTCCTTTGCACCTGTACATTGTACTTCTTTGGTGATATTACAAACCTGGTTTCAACTTTCAAATGAAAGCAAACTTTCAAGACGGTTAGCTGTGCCATTCTGATGTCCAATACTGAGCATTGTGATTTTCCTTGAACCATGATTTTTCTCCCTAAGATCATCCCCATTGTTATTAAAGGGACTACATTGAGTCCAGCTTTTAATTTTGCCTGTTTATTTGCATAAACACACTAAGAACAGCCTGGATCACCTACAGTCTTTGTCTGCTTTGCTGGAACTCACCCAGGGAACCTTCAGACTAACTTCTCAGTCCGCCCCTTGGGGCACAGAAGCAGAGCCACACATCCACCGTCTGGCTTTGCCTGTACCAGTCGTTTCACTCAAATCCTTGAGGCTTCCATTGTGCCTACAGGTTCCTTTTTAGTCATTTTTCAGGAAGGCAACCTTTGTCCCTTCCCTGGAAAGACTGCCACGAACTGCACAGCCAACCAAAGTACCAGGCTTTTTCTTGTGGGCTTTTGCTAGCTTTGCAAGTCAATCCCAGTTCCTCCGGGATTTCTGGTAACAACCAGAACCCAGACATGCCTCCTTCAGGAGTGACATTCCAGCCAAAGTCTTGGTTCACAAAACCACCATTGATAAGTGGTCTTAATGGATTTATGCAAAGAAACCTTATGTCATCACTCACTCCTTCAGAATGCCAAACTCTGGAGGGATCAGGCAGGGAGAAAAATACAACGTGTGAAGGAAAATCCTTTTCCTTTTGGTATCCTTTTATAGTTTATCCTTCTTCATTCACAAACCTTACATTTTCCCTTGTTCGCTTTCCTAGAGAGTGGGAAGTTTTAACCTTCCCTGGAATCCTCAATTTCCTTTTCAGAGAAGATACAGTGCAAAATCCAAAACACAGACAGAGCCCCAGAAGAACAGTAGATAAGGCAGAGTCAGTCTTTTGTACCAGTGTGTCCACTGGTGCCTCCACAGAGACACGATCCTTTGCCTCAGGCTGAAACACTCATCTGCCCTGAGTGACCCTTCCTGGGTCCCGGGTAGCAAAGGCCTTCATCCCCCACCTGTTACAGTTGACCTTAACTAGGTCTTACAGGTGACCTTAAACAGGTCTTCAAGTGACCTTAATTAGGTCTTCAGGTACAGATGGTTTCTGATCAGGAACAGAACCAAATTGAAACCACATTCCCATAAAACCAGAAAACAAGCAGTTGAGGTTTCCTTTCCTCCAGGTTTAAAACTTTCACAATCTTTCCTACATAGTTTTATCCATCCTGATTTAACCACAATTTTCTTTTAATCCCTGTTCCTTCCCCACACTGGGAAGGACTATACTTAAACTCAGTACTTCAACTCAGCATCTGGAAGCCAAAAGTCCCTAGCATTACAGGTACCTTCCACTAAAAGTCCCTAGATTTGCAGGGACACCCTGCAGTTTTCTGAAGCTTAGATCTTGCAGACACCCTATAAATCAGGTGGTCACCCTTGGACCCCAGTTTATGACCTTCAGAACCAGAGTCCTCCCTATCAGAACCAGTTGCACAGAGAACCTGACTGCTGGAGCCCACACAGCAGCAACACATGGCCCATAAACTAAAGAGAGCCCTTAGGGGTTTGCTTCCTCCCCAGACCTGAGTCCAGGTTCCCTTAGTGCCCCCTGGGTTCACTGGAACTGTAAGTGAGCCGACTGGGGCAACCTGGAAGCAGCATGCTAACCAAACCATTATCCACAGGTCCATCATTCCACACAGTGTGCAGAAACAAGTTGGCCAAACCATTTCACTTCTCTGCTCTGTTCCCCATTTCATTTCCTTTTCACCTTTCTGGGCGTGATTAGGTGTCCAATGCCCTCAGGAGGAGTGCAGAGAAATTCTCAGAGACCGGGAAGATTCCGAAGTCTCCCTCTCCCATGCCTGAGGGGGTCGGTCTGCCACGGGCAATTATTGCCCCACGTTGGGCGCCAACAACTGTTACAGAACAGAGCGGTGGTGGTGGTGGTGGTGAAGGATACACTATTACTGAATGGACCCACCCTTGTGCTCCAGGGACCCCCCGCCCCCATACTAGGTTTGCCTTGCCTGCCGCCATTGAAAGACTTCTCTCAATGCCAGAGATTGGTGAAAAGGAAAGGAATTATTTATTCAAAGAGATATACAGACTTGGAGTAATGACTTACTGTCTTCATTAAAATGCTCAAGTCTTTTAGGCCACCCACAAATGCACAGTGTCCCTCCTTCTCCCTCTGCCCAGTCTGGGGTACCATATCTCAGGAAAAGAAGTAGAAGCTCGTGGCTCAGGCAGCCCCTTAGTTCTGGCACCATCAGCTGTGTCGCCGCCGTGATCTCCAGTTAATCCAAAACCATGTGGCACCTTCTCTTGGCCCACCAGCAGGAGTCCTTTCACTCCTTTTCTTCCAGACAAAGTGTCTCCTGCTTCTTAAGCCACATGCCAAAAGGGAGCAGCCCAAAGCTGTATGACAACAATCTGCCATGGCTGCTGTGCCTGGGTTTAAATCCCTGCGCCAGTCTTCTTCTGCAGCCCCATTTCCGACTCCTCCCACAATCAGTTACACCTGCCAGCATTCCCCTATCCTTCCAGCTTTACTGGGCTGCCATAGTGAGTCTGGGCAGGTGTGGCCCCATGGCGTGGAGCCAATCACCTCCAAGCTCTCACACAGGCGCTGTAACCAGGGGGAGTGGCCTCCCAGTTACATCTTGGGTGGAAGTCCCTTCCATCCCCCTGGCTCAAAGCATGGCCACAGCCATTTAACATATCCATGGAACCAGTTAAAGGTTATAGATATGTTAAATGACCATGCCAGAGGTTAGCTGCAAAGCTGTTTCAATGCAGAACATCTCTCAATGGCCCTGCTCCATGTGTCCCATCTCCCAGCTCAGACTACTGGACATGAGGACATCATATATATTTACATATATATATAAAATTTTCTAATATTTCCTGGACACCCTGAGTTCTGGACCCCATTACAAATCCCTATTTGGGACTCCCCACTTGGCTGCACCCTGTTACAAGACTGCATGCTAGAGAGAGAAGCCACGAGCCCATGGCCAGTGAGACAGAACTGGAATCTGAAGACTGACTCCCCCGCCCACGAGGGCTCCAGCCCTGAGCTGGGCCTGGCCGGGGGGGCAGTGGGGGGGGGCAAATGGTGGTGGTCCATAACCTCCATCCTTCTGAGCTAATGGGCTGTGGGGTCCCCAGAGCGGCTCACAGAGCCCCCCCCCCCAACCTAGTGGTAGAGTCAGGACTGAGAGACAGACCCACACAGGAGTCAATGTGGGAACGGTTGTCGCAAGGCAGGCTGCCCTACAGTAGCCCCTGAAATGTGGCAGAAGCAGCAGAACAAGAATCGGGTGGGCACTGTTCCCCAGCTGCGGCTAGAGGGCTGAGTGGGGTGGCCTGGTGGTGAGGGAGAGGAGGGCTTGACTCAGTGGGCGATGACTCTGGGGCCGGGCGAGGCTTGGGCTACAGACAGCCGGAAGCAGGCTGAGGACTTGGGCCTTGGAGCTGGTCTGGGGGTTGAGCTGGGAGAAGGAGCTGGAGAAGGACCTGGGTCTGGCACAGGCTTGGCAATGAGAGGTGGGTGAGCTGGGGAGGGGCTGCAGGGACCCCCAGGCCAGGGAGCTCCTCAGCACTCGCAGAACCCTGCAAGGAAGGGTCCTGGAGATATCTGTGGATTTGGATCAAACGCTTTAGGGGGTTGTGCTCAGCTCCTTACCTGACCAGGGATCACAGGTGAGCACAGGGGCTGGTCTGGGAGGAGACCGGTGGGGTGCGGGGCGCTTTAGGGGGGCAGACGAGACCAGAGAGAACCCAGACGTTGCTTTCCAGAACCCCTACTTGCCTGCGCATAGCACGGAGAAGGGGCTGCTAAGCCTCCCGCTCACGCTTGCCCTGATCTTCCCAAGGACCGCTCAGCCCGCTGCTGCCTGGGCCTCTCTCACCGGGGCCTCTAGGTCTCAGTTCCCTTTCTGACCTGGACAGGGCGGGGTCACATGTTCTCCCACCACCCCCGCCACCTCCCCAGTGTGACAGCCTGGGGTGGACAGAACACGCAGACCCAGGCTGAGAAAGAGAGACTTTAATTGGGGCCCTTTCCTGCCATGGTTCCAGCTCAGAAGAGGGGATAAGGGTCTTCTTTGTCCTTGAAGGGCCTCCACTGGACTCAGGCAGCTGAGGGTTGGGGCAGCCCACACCAAGGCTATGGGAAGTTTCCAAATGGTCCAGGGAGAAATCAGGACTTCTGGGTGCTGGGGTCACTTGACCTCATGTGTTTTCGCAAGTGTTTGATTGCCTTCTTCACCCTGATGTCCTCGGGGTTTGTGCAGATGTACCTGCCCTGGAGAGTCACAAACCTACACAGAGGGAGAAAGGGGGCATCAGGGCGGGGCGACCCTGCAGAGCCTTGGGCAGCCTCGTCCTGCACCCACCAGGACTTGCTGAAGTCACACAGAATCAGGAGGAAATCTGGGATATTAGGCTCTGTTCTCAGTGACCTTGACCCTTCCAGAGAGCCAGGGCTATAGGGCCTTCTGCCCATCCCCCCATTCTGCCCAGACCACCTAGAGCTGGGGAACAAGGAGTGCGCAGGCCCCAGCTGGGGGAAGAGACTACATCCCCTGTGACTGCCCGGGTGACACAGGACTGTGCCCTCTCTCTGAGCCTCAGTTGCCATAAATCAATGAACGAAGAGGGCGGGCCCCATGGCCTGGGCCTTCGGGCACTGCAGGGTGGGGTACAGGGCAGGGCCAGGGTGATGGAGGGAACAGCACAGGCCGCCCTCTCCTTTCCTCCTTCCAGCAGCCCCTGTGGGAGCTCCAGGCCCCTCCCACTCCCGTATTCAGCTCCCAGGACGGGGGTGGGTGGGTGGGTGGGGGGGTGGGAGGAGACTTACACAACAGCATTCTTGGGACACTCGTCTGAGGTCCGGTACCACGTTACCACCCTACTGACAGGGACGGCCCCTTTGAAGTATTCCAGGCAGCACTCCCTGCCCACGTTGGTCCCTCGGGCTGCAGAGGAAGAAGCAGGCGCGTCTGTGAGCGTCCGTGGCTGTGGGGAGCTTCTGTGGTGGGTCTGTGTACACATGTCTGTCTGTCTGTCTGTAGAAGGGAGTCTGTGTGTGTGTTTCTGTGCAGGGCCTGCAAGGGTGTCTGTGTGTGCCATGTGTGCACAGGTGTGTGTGTGAAGTCTCTGTGTGGGCTTCCGGAGGCCCTGTGTGTGTATGGGTATGTATCTGCATGGGTGGGAGGGCCTGCATGTGTGTCTGTGTGTGTTGGAGGAGTTGTGCATGCTCACTCACACGTGCGTCTCTGTGTGCACCTGTGTGTGTGTCTGCACACTCAGCGCCAGCCCTGCATCCGCATGTGTTCCTTCACTCTGAGCCCAGCTCCGGGTGGAGCCGTTCCTGGCAGCTGCTCACTCAGGCCTCACCGCGCACCTGGAGACAGGTGCTACCCCCACCCCATTGTGCAGGTGGTTGAACGGGGGCCCGAGGTGTCAAGATGCTTCTCTGGGGCTCCATTTCCTCATCTCTGCACGACAAATACCCAGCGCTCCCAAAAAAGGTGAACTGGAGGCCTGTGGCTCTCATTCACATCACGCGAACGTGTCTTCTGAGAAGCCCCTCTGGCCCTCTGGCCGTGAGGGGGCCGTTGCCTCACCCCGGAGCCGGAGGGGGGGCCCAGTGGCTCACAGCAGTGAGAGTGGAAGTGCAGCCCCGAGGGAGGCCGGTGGCCTCAGAGCTGCCCACTGCCCCTGGCCGGCCGGCCAGCACTCGCCAGCTCTGTGTCTGACTTCAGCCTTCCTTTCCCAAGCGGATGTCGAAAACCTCTGTTTTCCCATCCTCTGAGAACCCATTCTCCTTTCATGCCGATTCCTGCATGGCGTGGAAGACCCACCCACTAAACACAAACCGAGGGATACCTTTGAGAACGGTTCACTTTCCGATGTCAAATCACAACCCCGGCACCGCACCACAAGCCCCTCGGAGTGTGAGGCGGGGGGAAGGCTTTGTCCCTCCCCAAGCCAGTCCCCTGGCGGGTTCTGGGGCCTCTTTCTCCCCCTCATGATCTTTATCACCTTTGTCATTATTGTCCTCTGAATGCCTCCCTCAAAATCCTCTTGCTGCTGACCTCTGACCTCCTGGTAGGGGTAAGTGAAGGGCAGGTAACACTCGAACCGGTGCCCGTTGCTGCTGGGGCCTCGGCGGGTGCCCGCCCCTCCCCCACCCCTCCTCTGCTCTCACCTGCTCGGGTGTCCTGCAGGGAAGCGCCCAGGAGAAGGGCGACTAGGAGCAGCATCTTCACTGGGGTCATGGTGCTGGTGGCCCAGGAGATGTTCTCTGCGCGTGGGTCCCTCTGCTCAGGGGAGACAGGATGAGAACCAAGGGAGGAGGTGACCTATTTAACCTCTTTGGGGATCTGGCTCCGCCTCCCACCACCTGTTCCTCCCATCTTTCCCTAGACCGACCGGTGGAGTTCGAAGAATTTGGAATGATTCAGTAGAAGTCCAGGTTTGGAATGTTTGTGGCTTTCCACAGAATGGGCCATCGACTGGGGACAGAGGTGGGGTGGGATGAATGTCCGGGGGTCAGGACAACGCACTTCTCCTTTTTGCAGGGCTACTTCTTGGTTCCTCTATCAGGAGCTCAGGAGCACACAGAAGGCTTCATCCTCAGTGGGACTCATCCTGCTCGAGGCTCCCCGGGTAGCAGGACAGCCGGATGGGGTGCAGCAAAGGCAGCGTAACGGGGCCTGGAGGGGCTCAGGGTGCAGAAAGACCCCCTCTTCTCTCGTGAGATGGGCCGGCTCCTTCACATTCTGAGAAAGACCTGAGGCCCAGACAACCCTAATGGTGGGCCATCCCCAAGTTCAAGTTCAGGGCCTTCCCCTGAACCACAAAAAAGACCAGAGTCTGACAGTTTTTAATCATCATTTAGTCTAGATTTGCATTAGACAGATTGGGAGGCCACATCCCCCCAAAGGCTGCCTCCCCCTCCAGGCTGAAGAGCAAAACAAAAAGATGTGCAACGAAGCCTCTAGCTCCTGGAGGAGCCCAGTCTGCTTCGGACTTGTGCCCCGTGTCTAGCCCGAGCCAGGCTCTGAGCAGACTGCCCATGAACCCATGGACCACAATGTCACTGCATCGGGTCAGGTCCTGATCACCAGAGGAAACAGTCCTTTGTCTGCTTAGGGCTCCCCTGGACTGGCTTACGAGAGTCCCTTAATTAGGGCAGAGACCCTGCCCACCTCCGGGGGGGCAGCCCCTCAGCAGGGCAGCTCTGGACTCGGATTCTGCCACAGGGGACCTAGGCCTGGCTCCGCGCTGGGCCTGGGTGACTGGGGGCGGCTCGGAATGTCACCGTCACTGCCACTTGGCGTCAGGTGCATTGCTGCCTTCTCAGTCAGCTCCGTGTTCATTGAGGAGCCGTCATTAAATTTCCATTGCCTGCGGCGGTAACAGCAGCAGGGGCCGCTTGTTGAAACCCAGCCCTACCAGGAGCAGGCGCGCACACCATAACCTCTCAGCAAACCCATGAGTGGAAACCACGATCCTGGACCAGAACATGCGAGGGAAAAGCCAGGTGTTCCTCCTCCTCCCCGAGGGCCACCTTGGGAGGCTGGGGCTGCTCCAGCCCCTACAGGCGAGGAGTGGCCCTGTCCCTGGCAGAACTTGCCGATGGGCAGGGTCCTTGCTGTGTGACCACGGGCAGCTCTCAGACCCTCTCTGGGCGTCAGAGGCGTTACCTGTAGAAAGACATTTGGGTAGGTCTGAAAAAGATGGATCTTCCTTTAGCGGGCCTCACACCAGCATGTCTCTGCTTCTCTTAGGGTCCCATCACCTGCCAGAGACCCCTAACCCCTGACCACTCCTCAAGCCACCCCTGGGCAGGTTTCAGCCCCCAGTCTGTCTGGCTGGGTCATGCCTTCTGTCCCCAAGGCATAGGCAGTGGAGGGGCAGGGAGCTGGGCCTCCTGACTGTCTCCTGTTTGACACCAGCTTCCTGCAGAGGTGGGGGGCAACCTTCACCTCCAACAGAAAAGCATACAGCAGTCCCACCCTGCTGGGTCAGAGGAGGCCAGGCCTGGAGGGGGAGAGGGTGCTGGTGCCCTGGAGACCCTGGCTGGGGGCCGGGAAGCTCCGACCTGGAGACAGCCTTGGACCCCTTGGGCCCCTGAGGAAACAGGGTAGACTAGAGGTCCGTGGGGAGGGGCTGGGGGCAGAGGTCACGAGTCTGCTGACCTCTGTTCCCCACAGCCCCTGTCCCATGGCTCTCTCCCACCTGCCGCAGGTGGCCCCACACTCTGTGCTGAACAGCAGGAGGCTGTAATCACACCGGGGAGAAGTTTGTGAGCAGTGAGGCCCCAGCCCCTGCTCCCACTGCGGGGGAAACTCCCACGTGGGTTTTGAGTCCCCCGGTCTGCTGCACACTCAGAACTTTTCTCCAGAAGGACCCAAATTCCCCTGTCCCTTCTAGGGAATGGAACAGAAGGTCCGCACCAGCTCTGGGTTGGTGCCAGCTGCCTGGCTGGGGAGGGAGGGGGAGCAGGGCAGCAAGTGGACCAGTGAGCACCTGCTGTATACCTGACTGTGAGGGGTAGGGTACAGTTGGTGGGGGGGGGGCTGAGGGGCAGGCAGCGCCTTACGCAGCCCCTGCCCTTGCAGAGTTCAGAGCTGGTGGGCCTGGAGGGCAAGGTCTGGCTCCACGTAGGGAGGTGCGGGTCATGTGTGTAAGGTGAAGGGCCCATTTTGCCTTCTCGGTCAGCTCTGTGTTCATCATGGAGCCATTACTAAACTTCCATTACCAGGGATGATAATAGGAGAGGATGCTGCCGGCCAACTCGGAAGGCCGCCTGGAAGTGGAGGCGAGAGAGCTGGGCCTTGGGGTGCAAGGACTGGTGACAAGAGAAGGAGGGGCAGGCATTCCGCATCAGGGAAGCGACTAGCAAAGGTGCAGACGAGGGACTGCGCACAGGTGATGAGGGAGGGACAGCACAGAGCGCTGGTGGACGAAGCGGCCTAGGTGTGACCCCGAGAGAGCAAGTGGCGTGAGGGCAGCGAGGTGTCTGGCTTGCTCGCTGCCACGTGGACCCCCAGCTCCAAGCACAGTGCCCGGCACTCAGGGGGCTTCCCACGAGGGATGGCTGATTGGCACAGGATCCAAGGACAAGGAGGTGAGAGGGAACAAGGGCCTTGGAGAGCCCATGGGGGGCCCCGCACACCCCTTGGCTTTATTCGGAAGACCACAGAGACCAGGGACATTTTTTAGGTGTTTTCCTCACTAGAAATTAACCGACTGATTCCTCCTTGCTTCTCCCAGCTACGAAACAGATTCTAAGGGACCTTCCAGATGGAATGTCCTTGAGCTGGGGGCCTGTGATAAGGGCCTGGAGACCTTCACGGTGCTGTGACTTGGAGGCCCGTCAGGGGAATCAGGGCTGTACCTTGGAGGAGGGCGCAGCGAGGCAGGGCTCTGTGCAGGGGCTGGGGGACAAGGCCACCAGCAAGGAAACAAGCCAGACATGGCCTGCTGGAACAGTCAAAAGGAAATTGGATCTGTGTGGGAGGAAGCGGCAGCGGGACTCCCTGTCTCAACACCTCAGACTCAAGCCAGCCCCGTGACACCCTGTGCACCTGACACCCCTCCTGCCACTGCTGTGAGGAGTCCCTTTGGGGTGAATCCAGCTGGAGGGAATCAACACCCCCACCTTCCCACCTCCTGCTTCAGGCCAGAGGGCCTGAACCGGCTGGGTCCTGAGTCATTTACCCAGAAAGGGACGGAATGAGTGTTCCTCCCCCACCCTTGGCTCGGCTGTGAGCTGGGGTGGGGGACCAAGGATGTTGTCGAAGCAGCAAGAACTTAGCCCCAGGCTGCAGAGCTGGGGACAGGTGGCTGGGGATGGAACAATTTGTCATCCTCAAATTGTCCGTGACAGTGTCACTGGGATGGCAAAAGTTGTCACCGACAGTTAGCTGTGACAGCTATGTCAGCTGAGGCTCCAGGAGATGCAGTGACTTGCCCAGGGTCCCACATATCATCTCTGTAATGATCTAGTATTTTATCTGCTCAGCTCCATCCTATCCTGCCCATGGGGTCTGGGATGCAAAGGTCCCAAGTGTTTTGTTTTGTTTTTTACCATCCCCCAGTCAAAAAAATACGTCTCACCCCCTGTCCCCAGGGCCTGCCATGTTCAGGGATGAGTTAGTCCTTCCTGACAGGTTGTCCTTCTGCTTAATTCTCGGGTCAGAATTGCCAGGGCCATCTCTCACCTCCCACATTCAATCAGCAAGGCCTGCAGAGTGGGCTGCCTGGTGGGTTTGTCTGGAATCCTTGAACCCCTCTCCTCCTCACCATCCACAAGGCCACCCCCTCCATCTCTCCACTGGACCACAGTCGCACACTGATGTCCCAGCTTCCAGGCTTGCTCCTCTGGTTTGTCCTCCGCCCTAGAGCCCAGCCATCTCCCCCAAAACACATCTGAGCAAGGCTCCCACTCTTCAAAACCCCTCAATGCCTCCGTGTTGCTCTCAGAATGAAGTCCAGGCTCCCACCGACTTCTCCAGCCTCGCCTTTGGCCCCCTGTTTGCCGCCCACCATGTCACTTTGCTGTAGCCATGTCAAGCTCCTTTCAGTTCCAGGGAAATGCCGGGTTTTCAGACACCCAGGGCTCCTCCGAACAGGCCGTTCTTCCTGTCTAGAACTCTCTCTCCTGCTTTCCCACACCCACTTCCTTTCATCCTTCGGGTTGCAGCTTAAACCCTTACTTCCTCCCTCAGCCCTCACTTTTCTCCTTGTCCCCACAGTTCATAACACACTTCCCTATCCTGCTCTGTCCACACTGTGTTGTAATTGTTGGTTTATGGTGGTGAACACCTTGAAAATAGGATCTGTTTTATGTACCAACTTGTACCTACAGGACTTAGCACCAAGTAGGTGCTCAATAAAATATTTAATTTAATGAATGAAGAGGTTGGATAGTTGAATGAATAGGTGGATGGATGAAAGGATAGGTGGATGGGAGGATGAATGGGTGGACTGATGGGTGGATGATGGATTGATGGGTGGATGGATGAATGGGAGGATGGATGGATGGGTGGGTGGATGGATGGATGGATGATGGATCAATCAATGAATGGACATTTAACAAGTGTCTGAAGTATGGCATGAGCCCAGCTTGCCTGCTGTCCCGGGAGCTCCTTCACCCTGTACAAGCTGTTAGTGACCCAGAGTGCTCTGCCGGTTCACAAGACACACCGATTCCTCCTGGACGAGGTGGAGGAACCCAACCAGCCAGCTGGCTTCTTTTGCATCTGCTTCCCACCTTCCTGGTGCGTTGCAGCCATTCCAGCCTTTCGCCAAACCTAAGTGTGTCAGCAGCAACTCTTCTCCCTGTCCTTCTTCAGGTGGCAGCTCCAACCCGCCCTTCCTTCTTTAGCTCCCACGTTCCTCTGTGTCCCCCTTCCTTCTGCAACCCCAGAGGGCCTCCTCCCCTCAGTCACAGTCCCTCCCCATCCCCCGGGCAGATGACGTGACCCAGTCCCTCTGCTCC